TGATTGTTTTTGTACTTATGTTCTTATGATTTGGTCGGTTCTGTTACAGTCATGGCCAAGCTGGAACGGCTGTAGGATAATTGGTTTAAGCCACCAAGGCTTATCCATAGCAAGCACTATGGCTCACGGTCTTTCGATTCGGACGTCATGGAGTTGACGGGAATCGGAGGACGGGCCAAGTAAGGAAAGAACGACGGGTTTCGGCTCTTGTAGCCTTTTCCCGCAAGTCACAATTAGACGCGAGATGCAAACAAGAACAAATAACACTATTGTGACTTGGCTCCAACGTACTTCGGCTCGCCCGCTATGGTAGAAAGCGGTAGCGCAAAGAGATTGGACAACGATGGGTCCTCTCGATCCACGCGACACAATAACGTCGGGAGCCGAGAAGAGAGTCGCTCAACACGGCAAAAGAAGCAGGGGTTAGCTAGGCACATCCATGTCATATTCTCAGACACATCTTCAGAAAGATGGTTTTTGACGGTCGATCGGGTCAACACGCACGGGTCTGAGGTACGACATAGACCATAGCTTCGCTAACAAAAAAGGGGGATAGTCCGGTCTTTGATCCAATCACCATGGACAGGGCGGGGTCGAACAGAGCGGGCTAACAGGGCAATAAGAGCAAGAAACCACAGAGAGCGGAGATCTACTGCTTCCAACGCACACGCCACGACAAAAGACGGGGCATCGGAAGGAGCGACTTACTAAAGAATACAAGTACGCAAACCACTCATAGGGTACCCGACCTGGGTGCACTGGCACTAAGTCATCTCTCAGATTCGCAACGGTGCGGTTGTCACCGCGAGAATCAAAGAAACGCGATGGTCGAACAGGGTACAAGCATACAAGGGCTTGTGCACGAAGAAGCAAACAAAAGCGAAAGAGAGGCGTAGCTCCATGGTCATGGCGAGGCGAACTCGTGGCCACAAGCTACACCAACGAGTTGGCACCCATCGTTCGACGATTGTTATCTCCAGGTCATCTCCCACAGGACTTGGTCATGGAGGGCTCAAAGCGTGCGGGTGATATCCGCATTGATGTTAGTATCGACATCGAATCCATCACGACCATGTTCTAGGGCCGAAGATAGGAGCTAACACTCGTGGTACTATGAAGTCAACTAAAAAGCGAGGGGTCGAGTTACACTCAGCATCACGGCCATGGCGAGATAAATCCCACGATCGTAATGTCTGAACGAGGTACGAACCCTCATCCGGCTCAAAAGCACGGCACACTGGCGACAACACCAACAACCAAGGCACAGCGATAAGATCCAAAGACACAACCAAACAACTCAACAAGACAGCGGAGTAGCACATTTCCATAGCTCAAGAGAGGTAGATGGTTCCTGCAAGACGACGGAGGAACAAGAGTGTAAGGGCATGTATAATAAAGAGTGAAAATCAAGAGGGCTAATGCACTTGTGTAGAGCTGGATGGGTGGTGTCGAGGACGACGAGGTCGGCGGTAGGGCGTGACCGGGGCTTAGGTAGGTGCTGGAGCTTGACTCCGGCTCAGCGTGCAACTGTGGCCTGGTGACAAGCTATTCAAGGTCAGAGAGGGCGACGTCGTGGTCGAAACGTGGCTGTGCAACATCTCCGTGTAGGTCCGTGAACCAGGTGTAGTGTGCGGTGGCAAGGCTGCAGCGGCGTGGCGACTAGGAAAGATGGGGCCTCGGGTTTGTGCGGGCGCGTGTCCAATTATCCAAAAGAAGTCTTGGTCATATGTGCGATAGCGGGGTCAGAGAAGGCTCGTGCGGGCATGGAGGATGCAGCTGTGTGGTGCATGACGCTGTCGTAGCGGCCTATGCTTTCGAGTTTTCATGGCTTGGAAACAGCAGCATGAAGGCCGGGTAAGCTGTGCAACAAGGCATCGGCTTATGGCCAGCATGCTTATAGGTTCAAATGCCCGAGAGTGCTTGGCTTGTGCTCAAGCAGAACTGTGTGCGCACGTGTGTGTGCAAGTGTCTAGGTGGTGCCATGCCAAAGATTCGTGCAAGACGTGTTATGGCTTGTGTAGGTGCTTGGTGAGAGGCCAAAGGGGCTCGGCATGTCCACCTGGAGCCGTGCTCATGCGCTGAGATGGCGGGCAGTCAAGAAGGGCATCTCCACGATCTGCGTGGCAGGTCGCGCGATGGCGCGTGCAAGAGCTCACGACCAGCGGCGGCAGCGGCGGCAAACGACGAGGCGTCGGCGAGGGCAATTCTCGACAGCGCGTCCTCGCGACGTGAGGTGGCCGGAGAGGGCAGGGGCATCTCCACGATCCGCGTGGCAGGTCACGCGGTGGTGCGTGCAAGAGCTTGCGACCAGCGGCGGCGGCGGCAAACTTCGAGGCATCGGCGAGGGCGATTCCCGACAACGCGTCCTCGCGACGTGAGGTGGCCGGAGAGGGCAGGGGCATCTCCGCCACGGGGGCGACATGGGAGCACGTGACTTCGGCGAGGTGGGGATGGGCGTTGGCTCTCGGGCTTGGCTCAGACATCTAACCAGCGCACGGTACGTCTCACGTCGAGGCAAGGCTGGTCCAGGGGCTCGCGTTGCTTCTACTGTCTCAGGGCGGCCGGAACACAGCGGCGACGGTCGACGGGGCATGGTCTTCTCCAACGCATGACGGTCAACTACTCGTGCGGCGGTCAGGAGTGTCCGATCACGCCGGCGTTCTCAACGCCGCATGTCGGTTTCCGCGGCGAGCAAGGCTTGGCTGACTCAACTACTCGTGCGTGCTGGAGGTGTGGCGAGGTGATGTGCCGTGTGTCCAGGAGCGTAAGCACTAATACGCGGGCTTTACTCGTCCCACCTCTAGTCCCGGCATGGGAGCGCGCGGCGCCACGATGGGTCTTGGTATTCACGGCGAGCAAAGGTCCTCCCGACTTTAAAAAAATGACTCACCGTTGGTGGCGATTCGAAGAGACCTCATGATGGAGGTGCAGGGCGAGGTGCTGCCGTGGCGAGGCGACGAGGTGACGGCTGGTGGTGGCTCGACGTGCAGCACGGCGAGGACATGGCCACGGCGGTTTGCAGCTTCGTCGAAGACCGTCGAGGCACGGGCGATGTCGCACTGTGAGGAGGAGGAGACACCTTTAGCGCGGTGGCCAACCGCCGGAGGGCGCGGTCATAGTGCTGCGGCTCCGCCTTCCCGGGTGCAAAAAAGGCCCATTGCAGCGAAGACGACGACGTCGAGACGGGCTTTGGGGAAGACCGTCGAGGCACGGCGGTCGCATCTCTGTGGTGGCTCTGCGGCGATGAAGGCACGGCGTCGATGGTGGCGACGCCGGGGGTGCTCCGGCTCGCGGTGGCGGCATCGCAGTGCAAGCGCGCGGCTCCGAGACGACCCGAGCTCGGAGCAAGGTGGTTCCGCGGCGACGGCGACGTCGTGCACCTGCCGCCAGGGCGCGGCGTCGGCCTGAACGGCTCCTCGGGTCTTTGCCGCGGCGCGCTGGCGGCTATGTGGAGGAAGGGTGAGGGCGAGGCGTGGCGGCGGGCATGGCTCTTATAGCTCTCGACCTAGGGTTCGCGGAGGCCGGGGCATGCTACAGGCGGCGGTGATCTTCGGGGTGCGGCCGGCTGGACGCGTGGCGCCCATCCGCGAAGCAGGGTAGGTGAGCAGAGCTGGGAAGCTTCTGGAGTGCTCCAGAACGGGCGCTGGGCTCGCCAGCTTGCGGTACGGTTCGAGGGCATCTGCGGCTTGCGATGTGGGTCCGTGTCCTGGTGGCGTCGCGGCGGGTCTGTTCAGTCCAGGCGAGGTCCGTGGCTGTGCTCTCGTCACGCGAGGCAGGCTCCAGGGCGGGGTGCAAGGGGCATCCGAGGGCGACGTGGTGGCCTGCTTCCTTGCTCTGGACGCCAGCGAAAAAGAGGAAAAGCACAGGCAGAGCGGCTAAGGAAGACGACAACGCTGGATAGAAAAAGTAGACGGAGGCTTCGGGTTCCTTCTCTAGTGCGGCTGACGTGCGGGCCCAGGGGAAACAGCGGCATGCAGCTCTCCACACGCGAGGGGCGGCGGCAGCTTGCGCTGCGTTGTGCGTGCAGCGCATGCGAGAGCAAGGGAAGGTGAGCTGGGCTGCTGCGGGTACCCAGGTTGGGCCACGACGGTGGACTGGTCTGCACACTTGCTGTTGGGGCATTAGTATACGTATGTGTACATGATCTTATATACATGTATACATTGCACGGTGGCTTGTGTAGTGCATTCCAGATGGCTTCCTAATTACGTGGTTCCTGTACAAGCCACAGGCGCACGACTACAGGAGCATGCAGCTTCTATACGTGCTCCACGTTGTTTGCCAAATAGGCGCAGGAGTATGCACGCTTGTGCAGCCCACTAGCCAAGGATTTAGGAGAGATGATTTACCAAAAATTGACGCTAGGGTTCGTGAGTAGTGCGCCGGTGTTCGTGGCGTTGATGCAATAGCCTGTACGACCCGACGATCACCCTGGGGCGTGGGCAGGTGAGCGAGCTAGGACGGTGCAAGACGGGGAGCGTCGGGGCTTGGTCACGTCGATCCGGGGCGCGGTCAAAGGGGAAACGTGGGCAGGGTCCGTGTCCAAAGGGTGTTAAATTAGGTCAAGTGATATTTGGTCCGAAGATTAAGAGGTGTTTCCACATTGAGGGAAATTTAGAATAATCCCGAAAGGGATAAAAGGGGAGTTGCTACGGGTTGTGCTCTCCAACAAGACGAGACTCAAACACGAGGCAACAAAAGAGCACCGACACACTTTTACAAACAGTTCTACATGAATGCAACGTTTCATCAGCGGGTTTGATTCGTGTTTGACCTAGTGTCTACATGCTTCACACAATTTACAAGAAAAATTTTGAAAGCTCGTATTTTTTTGGTTTCCGGAAAATTCCGGGTTGTTACACCGACCGTCTGCGACAAGCCGCCGCCGCGTCCACGTCCCGCCGCTCCCTGCGCAATCTCGTCTTGCTCTCCTAGAATCACAGCCATGGACCCAATTTAAGGCAGTAATTTCACAGCTCACACAGAACAGTTCAATTCAATCAACTGAGATAAGATTGAGGAGAAGGTTCCGTGTTCCAGATATCTATGGAGTAGACGAAGTGTAGAACGTACTTGTAATGGTATTTCGGGATCCCGGAGACGGACAGCGGCGACGGTTCCCTGCCGTTGTGGCCGGTGCCGCCTCCTCTCCAGGCACAGAACGCGGCGCGTTTGGGCGGTGGCGGGTGGCCCCAGTCGGCGACGCTCTCGGAGACCACAGAGACGGAGACGCTGGAGTCGAGGCTGGTGCATCCGTCGGCCCGCAGCGTCGCCGAGGGCGACTCGAGGGACCGCGTCCGTGCGGCGACGCTGGCCCACCGGCGGTAGAGCCAGATGGCGAGGAGCACGCCCCCCGCCACGAGCAGCGCGGCCGCGACGCCGGCGGTGACCCCGATGAGCACGGCCCTGCTCCTCCTATCGACCATCCCCGCAGCCGCGCGCCTCCCGGTGCCTTCTCCCCGGCGAAGCAACGACCATGCCGTGTGAAGTCACGCCCGAGAGCAGGAAACCAACCTCCTAGCCGCCTTCGACTCCTGCCATGCCCATGGGAGCAGCAGAACGCGTCAGGAAGCAGCAACCTTGCGCTGGAACGCGCTTCTGAAGCGAGCGACCCTGCGCGGCGTCACGCGGTAAGACGCGATCTTGCGCTGGAATTTTCAGTAGCAGCATGCGCCAAGATCGAAGCAATCCTGCACAGCAGGCAGCTCCGCGGTAAAACTGCGGAATTGCGCCTGAGAAAGAGCTTGGCAGCAAAGCGTGCGCCGTACCTCTACAGCCGGAAACCCCTGCTCGTCGATGCTGATTTCAGGAACAGACGACGACGGATCGAAGAGGAGGGGAGAGCAAGACTAGATTGCGCAGGGAGTTTGGATGAACGGTCGAACTCGGTCGAAAAACTCGTGAACCGTTTTCTACTTTTACATTTGAAATACGAAAGCGAAAGCGAAAATGGACAAACCGGACACGAAAACGAACACGAACTTACGGAATATCTAGAATTTCGGAAACGAATCAATTCGAGCGAAATTATGTCAAACACGGTCGGTATGCGAAAATTTAATACGAAATACCGACCCACAGTGCATAGCATTAAACAAGTGTACGACCAAATACATAACAAGTTCACAACTAACAAAACAAGTGCATGATCTAGTTCAAGTGCATAGCATTAAACAAGTGCACGACCAAATACATAATAAGAGAGATGAGGCTGGGCGCCGTCTATAAGAGAGGGCAGCTAGCCACCAGTAGAAAGAACGCAACTGCGTGGTGAGCAGCCAGTAATTGAGCTGTATGACCTGTGTAGTTGGCCACATTCGGTATTTTGAATTCGGAATATTTTAAATTAAAAGTAGAAAAGTAGAAAACGGTCGAAAATGTGTAAACCGTTTTCTACTTTTACATTTGAAATACGAAACATCTCAAATGCGAAAGCGAAAACGGTAAAGTCGGACAAGAAAATACGGATTCGATCGGATTAAATATAGAAAACGATGCAGTTCTGTTCAGGATATTTCCGTTCCGTTTTCATCCTTAGCAGGGAGTGGCATGGCGCGGACGCGACGGCGGCCTGGCACATACGGTCGGGGCAAGGACGCCTGGTGACGCGCGGCCTGTCGACAGCGCCCCGACGCGGACGGGCGGTGGCGGCCGGCGTCGGGCTCTCGCCCGAACACCGGTCGAGACGGAGAGAGAACCGGAGAGAAAGGAGAAATTACCGTGACCGTGAGAAGCAGAGCAAGAGGAAGAGGATAAGGTAGAAGAAGACATGGGTAAAACGGTCACGCCTAGTCAAAAAGATGAGGTCAGAAATTTACAAAGTTGAAAAAAACATGAAATGGCAAAATTGCGTGAAACACATCTTTCATAAAGGCGTTCTGACGAAGCCCACAAACTTAAGAGCATTCTAGCAAAACCCATTACCCATAAGGGCAAAATTCCTATTTTCTCTGGAATAAGGTTAGAGGCTGGAGGGGGGAATGAGATCGGCGAAAATTAGGAAAAAAAATAGAGAGGTGGTACAGTTGTACAGCCACCAGACACGAGGAGCAACAAAGCAGAGGTTTAAGACTGCCGCCTGGTGCACATTTCTCAGCTACCCCCTCCCCATACGTTCCAAAGTATAGGTCGTTGTAAATTATCTTACAATACTTGACGTCATAGCCCAATATATCAGTCTAATCATAGTCAACTTACCATCAAACAGTTAAATCTTGTCGTAAGATGGATTAAAAAGCACAAAAACAATGTACTGATGGCCTCTACAGTGTGGAGAATTGAATAGAAAAGTATTTTCCAGCCAGAGTGTTGCTACCGAACTCCATTATGCAGCACGTCACCATCACCTGCGAGATTTCCGTGTAAGGGTGTTAGGGTCTTCTTGCTTGGGCATCAGCGGCGGAGCCAGGATTCAAAACTTGGGTATTCCCATCGATAATTAAAGTCACAAGAATATTCAAATAATAAATTATTCAGCTAATCAGCTCTAAAATATGCATAAAACAAACTGATAATTAATAAAAAGAACTTACAAAATATTATAATGTTGCTTTAATCCTACGATTCTTCATGGTTTGGAAGCGGTTGATGATGTCCTTGTCCTTGACTTGTAGAAAGAATTCCCGCTCAATAAATGTAGCCAAGCAATCATTCAAGTATTGATCCCCAATCTTATTTCTCAATTTGTTCTTCACATAATTCATGATAGAAAAAACTCTTTCAACACTTGCAGTTGCCACTGGAAGCACTAGCACCAATTTTAGAAGCCTATAAACAATTGCATGTCTTCCAATCTTGTTATGCTCAACAAGCTTCATAGAAAGCTCAGCAAGACTTCTCACATTCGCAAACCTTTCATCATTGCGCATATCAGTAATGTACAAATTGAGTTGAGCAGGTAGGTGGAGCAACTCTAAGCTTGTGAAATCATTAGGATAAAATCCAGCAAGCTTAACCAAATTTTCTTTGTCAAAAGCAGCAAATGAGTTGAGGGGATCATCGCCAACCTTTACAAGAACTTTCCGAATTGAAGGATACAAAGATATGACATGCATAACTGTTTTATAATGAGATCCCCAACGAGTGTTTCCAGGCCTTGCCATATCCATTTCTTGATTTAATCCTTTTCCAGTTTCAATGTCACCCAATTCTAGTGCTTCTAGAATACTCTGAGCATGTGCTACTCGAAGCATTCGTGTCTTCTTACAAGAATTCCCAATAAGGTTCAATAAAAATCTAACTTGATCAAAGAACCAAACACAATCTGAGTTTTCCTTGGCCACTTCCACAAGAGTTAACTGAAGTTGGTGTGCAAAGCAATGAACATAGTAAGCAGATGGACAATCATCCAAAACTAGTTTCTTTAGGCCATTAGCATGACCCTTCATGTTACTAGCTCCATCATAGCCTTGCCCACGTACTATAGACAAGTTCAATGAATGCTCCATCAATAAATTCTCAATTGCAGTTTTAAGTGTCAAAGCAGTAGTGTTTTCTACATGGACAACACCTAGGAACCTCTCAACTACGCTGCCCTTTTTGTTAACATATCTCAAACAAAGAGCTAGTTGTTCATTTTGGTAAACATCACTAGATTCATCAGCAAGAATTGCAAAATATTCACCACCAAGGTCTTCCATGAGAAGCTTAGTTGTTTCTTTGGCACAACAATTAGCTATCTCTCTTTGAATCTGAGGAGCAGTCAACTGACAATTCTTTGGGGCATTCTTCAAAACCACCTTTGCAACCTCTTCAAAGTTTTCAGCTAGCATATCTATCAACTCTAAGAAATTTCCCTTTAAGTGAACTTTCACTTTCATCATGTCCACGAGAAGCTAAACCTTGACGTAGAAGGTACTTAGCTGCTTGAATAGAATAGGACAAATGGGCCATGTACTCAGTCTTATCCTTATCATTTATCCTACTAAACTTATCATCAATTGCTTTCTTAGGTGTAATGAAGGAAATATATCTCTCTAGAGCCATTTTGTGGAAGCTAGTTTTGGAACCACAATGTTTAGTAATCCTCTTTTTCATATGCCAATTTCTAAAGCCTCCACTCACAAAAAGCATCTCCACCGTAACTATTAGTTTTATGCTTGAACAAATAATGAGACAAAACAAAATGCTGCATCTTTTTCGACACTATATTCAAGCCATGTGAATTCACCAAACCAGTCAGGCAAGAAGCGTCGAGGCTTACCTCCAATGTACCTTATAGGAAAATCATGACTCCATGGTTGACAAGGCCCTTTTGCAATGTATCCCCTAACCACTGAATTTCTTTCATTGACATTATACCTATTGATGGGAAGCCTCTTTCCGGGATCATGAGGAAGAAGGTCAATGTCATAAATAGCATCACCGCTTGATTCATAGCCCGAGTCATCACCTCGATAGGGATAAAGTAGAAGTTTCAGTGGCTGCTATGTTAATTTCAAGCTCATTGCTTCCTATCTCGGGTGACATCTGGTCTGCATTACTTGCCATCTCGTGTATCTTGTCACTTCTCTGGTTGTTGTATCATGCTCAACAGATGGATTGGTTTGATTATGAACTTGACTCTCATCGCTTATAGGCACAAAGCAGATTCAACAATAGGATCTTGAGGTCTGAGCATTACTGCCCTCTCAGAATCGGGTTGTGGCAATCGATGTAGATCCTAACTCCTGAACTCCACCTTCCTTGTTTTTGCTGCTCTATCCCATAGAGTCTTCAAATCAACCGATTTCGATTTATTCTTCATTTTGCAAACCAATAGGCAATAGCAATATCAACGCAAAAGTCCAGATCAAGAAACTACTAAACTCTATCTCTCGATTCTCTCAACCAATAATTGCAACAAAAAATCAAGATCAAGGCAACAACTAGAGTAGAATAGAACACTGTCCGTCTTTGCCGCTTGCGCCTTGCCGCCAAAAGCCGCCCGACGGGCAATGCTGATCTGTCTGTGCCTGCAGCTCACAGCAGCGCTTCACTCCAGCGTCAGCGATGCGTGCAGCGCAGGGCGCCGCCTCGCCCGGCCACCCGCGCCCGGCCATGCCGCCAGCAGCTTAGGTTTTGCAGGCGGCAATAGCGCTGCTTGCCAGCGCCAAGTGAACCGAGGATGCCGATGGGTGTGACCTGGACGGCTGGACCTAAGGGGAATAGAGGTGGGATCGCTAAATGGGCTGGTTGGGCCGGCCTGGGAAGGGGAGGTGTTCGCAGCCAGGCCTAAAGGCCATTTGTTTTGCCGTTTTGGGCTCAAATGTTTCGAAAATATCACAGAATATTGCATTATACATATATATATACACACACACAAGTATATACACATATCTATTAAAAGGTGTAAAAAAAAGTTGGGTATTCCCGGGAATACGGGGGAATACCCGTAGATGCGCCCATGTTGGGCATTGGTCTCCGTGACAACTTCAACAACATCCTC